CCGTCTAACCTGTGCATCCCCTCCCCTCCACCTCCCCCACCCGCTGGCCAGCTTAGCTCCCCCTTTCACCACAAAGGGAGAGAGGGGGGATAAGGAGAGGGGATAGGGGACACGGCGAGGAGAGGGCAGGGGCAGAGGGGAGAGGGAGAGGGGAGAGGGCAGGGAGGCAAGGGGGAGAGGATGAGAGGGGTAAAGGGAGGGAAAGACCTTCAAATAGATTCCTGAGCACCAACAGGCATACACAAAACTACTATGTCAACATCTTTGGTCTCGTCCATTCATTCAATTCATTCATTCGCCTCTCCCGCCCTCTCTCCCTCCCTCCTTCTCCCTCTCTCCCTCCCTCCCTCTCCCTCTCTCCATCTCTCTCTCATCCGGGATTTTGATAAGATATACGGGAGGAAATAAGAGAAAAAGGATTATAAAAGTCAACGATCAACATGTAACAGACTTCAAAAAAACATTTTTACCCTCCCTCCCTCCCTCCCTCCCTCCCTCCCTCCCCTCCCTCCCTCCTCCCTCTCCTCTCCCTGTGATAACACGCATGAATGGAAAGGTTCAGGTAAGTGGTGGGTGGGGTGGGGTGGGTGGGGGAGAGGGAGGGGGTATCACGGGTCAAAGGTAGGTCGTAAAACTCGAGAGAAAATCATGGAAAGGGGGAAATGGAGGGGAGATAGAGAGATAAAGGGGGAGAGAAGAGATAACACGTGAAAACCTGAGAAGATAAGAAAAGAAAAGAGGAGAAAAGGAGAGAAGGGCGAATGCGAAATGAAGACAAAAAGGAGAACAAAAAACATACGAAAGACAACAACAACAAAATGTGAATGGGTTTATTGTCGAGAGAGAAGGGGAGAAGGTGAGTAGGGAGAGGTAGGGAGAGGGAGGGAGAGGAGGAAAAGAGGAGAAAGGAGGGAGGGGAGGAAAGGGAAGAGGACAGGGGAAAAGGAAAAAGGAGAAAAGGAGGAGAGGGAAAAAGGAAAGGAAGAGGAAGGGAAAGGCGAAGAGAGAAAAAGGGAGGGAGACGAAGGGGAGGAAGAGGAGGGGAAAAGGAGGAGGACGACGACGAGGGGGGAGCGGGAAGAGGGGCGTAAAAAAAAAAAAAAAAAAAGTTGACCGACGCGACATGAATGAGGGACTCTCACTCCATCCCCTTCAACGGCCGACACATCGAACGCACACGGGCATCCGACCCGACAAACAAAGCCACCTTCTACTGCCACATCGGCGCCGCCATTCACGACAAATACGCTCAGATTCGCAGGTTGATAAAAAGGGAAGGAAGGAAGGAAGGAAGGAAAGGAAGGAGGAAGGGGGAGGAAAAGGGAGGGAGGGGGGAGGGAAGGAAGGGAGGGAGGAAGGAAGGAAGGAGGAGGAAGGAAAAGGGAGGGAAGGAAGGAAGGGAAGGAAGGAAAAAGGAGGGAAGGAAGGAAGGAAGGAAAGGAGGAGGAGGAGGAGAGGGAGGGAGGAGGGAGGGAGGAGAGAGAGGAGAGAGAGAGAGAGAGAGAGAGAGAGAGAGAGAGAGAGAGAGAGAGAGAGAGAGAGAGAGAGAGAGAGAGAGAGAGCAGATAGATAGCAATCGAACGAGAGAAAAGAGACAGAAATATAAACAGATAGAGAATAGGACAAGGCAGCAGAAAGGAATAAAAGGGGATATGGGGGGGAGGGGGGGGAGTCGTAGGGTCCGAAGGATGTATCGATATCCCAGGAGGAAAGACCGGAAACGGGGAATGAAAGAGATCCCGATAATGACGAAGAGAGGCGTAGATGAAGATATTTAGATCGATAAGAGAGGGAGACCGAAAGGAGAGAGGGGGTAGAAGAGAGAGGAACAGGGGGAACAGGGAAAATATCGACTAAAGATTTTAATAAAGAAAGAAAAGAGAAAAATGAAGACAGAAAAAAAAGTGAGCTGGAAATAAGGTAGAGGAAGGAACAGCTGTCAAACGGGGACTCAGAACACAGGAAAATGAAACAGCAGGTAAAAGAGAAAAATGGGGGGGGGGAGGGGAAGGGAAAGAGAAGGGGGGGGGGTGGGGGTGACCTCTTCGAGAAAGGGTTTGGGTGTTTGTTGGCCACGGGGGGTGATCCAGGGGGGGAGGGGAAGGGGGTAGGGAGGGTCTTCGCCATGAATGGAAGAGGGAAAATATGAATGAATGAGATCTCACGTAGGGACCCCCACCCACACCCCCACCCCCCTCCTCTCCCCACTCCCGAGGACAGGTCCAGTAGGGGGGGGAAATTGGGGAAGGTTGAAATTGACGAATGAAGAAAAGGAAGTGAAAGATAAAGAAAAAAAAAAATTATCTGACCTATGCCAAAGAGAATGATGATGGTGATGAAATGTAAAGAAATTTGACGAGATGAAATGAGGGAAATTTATATACATTTTCAAAAATTTAACGTTGGGAAATGGAACAAACAGACACATATCTACACGACCTAAATGGGGGGGGGGGGGAATAAAGAGAGAAAAAATTCATCGGTGTCCAAAACCAACTCATTAAAAAATAAAAATAAAAATAAAAATGAGCATCTCTTGACCTCAAAGACCTTACTTACGCTAAAGCCAAGACGCAAGGAGGGGGGGGGGGGATACTGACCTCGTACCTCCGCCTGTGTCACGTGTCATGTGTCATGTGCCACGTATGCAAGTGTGGGCTCGCAATACTGCCGATCGTGGGCGGCAGCAAAACAAACAGGCACAAACATACACTTAGAAATTGTTTCCTTTCGCTAGCCATCTTTACGCCCGTATCCCCTCCCTCCCCCCCCTCTCCCTCCCACCCCCTCTCCCTCCTACCCCCCTCTCTCTCCAAGTGGCGCGGTGGGCATCAAGGAGTGTTAGGGGGAGGGGAGGGGGGTGGGGGGTGATGAGGATTGTTGGTGAGGGGGGGGGAGGGAGGAGGAGTAGGAGGAGGTGGTTGTAGTGTTGCCACATGGCGAGCCCCCACTTATCACCTCTGAACCAATTTGTTGTTTATACACGCCAATAGAGTGAGTCGCGTTGCCAATTCGCCATTTTATCGAAAACAAGATTGGCCTTCTCGAGTGATCGCTTGTTATTTGGCCTTGCAATAGTCTTGCAAATGCACTAAAAAGGAGCCTCTGCAACGGTGTGGTAATCCAGTCAGCTGAGGACTCGTATGTCTACTACCGTTAATAATAATAAAAAAAAAAACAAAAAAACATTTACGTATTGCAACTCACGCGATATCAATCAATATCAGAGTTCAAGAGTTTAGCGCAAGAAATCCAATCTGCATTTAATAACGATATTCATTCATTCTTTCGCTAATTCATTCTGATGGCCAGCCGAGGTAGGGGGGGGGTCAGGGGAGATAGGGGGGGAGGGGGGAGTCACCTACACGAAATATAAGATGCGGGTGGGGGTGGTGGGGGATGGAGAGGGAGAGGGAGAGAGAATAAGAGAAAGAGAGAGAAAGATAGAGAAAGATAAAATATATATAGAGAGAGTGAGAGTGAGAGAGAAAGAAGAGAGAGACACAGAAAGAGAGATAAAGATAGAGAGAGAGAAAAAGAAAGAGATAAAGATAGAGAGAGAGAAGAGAAAAGAGAGATAAAGACACACACAGAGAGAGAGAAGAGAAGAGCAGAGAAAAAAGCGGCACAGACACCTCCACGGCTGGCGCCAGTCTACCTGTTCTTATCGCTTCCTCTTATCGTTTATCGCCACAGGTTATCCACTATCTCTGAGGGCCCCGCCACTTCTCGAAATCCGAAAAATATACGAACAATAAAAGTAAATAAATAACACCCCCCCTCCCCCTCCCCCAAACACGCTCTCATTCTGCATGTGCATTTATGCTAATGAGTGCGCGCGCGGCAGGTGTGACAGGTGAGGTGTGGGTGAGGTGGGTGTAGGGGAGGGGAGGGGGGGGGGGTTGAGGTGGGGTGGGGTGGGCTGCGAGGGGGGTGGGGGAGTGGGATCTAAATCCTCGCAGCGGCGGAATCCCACTCAGACCGGAAGACCCAAATCGTTTTATTCCCCCCCCCCCCCCCCCAACACCCCTGTCGTCGTCAGCGTGCATGCGGGCGCGCACACCCCACCTGACACCAGTACCGCCCATCACGCTCACCTATGGGTCGCCCCTCCCCCTCCGCCCCCCCCCTTTTTTCCCCTCCTCCCTCCTTCCCCACCTCCCCCTCTCCCGACTCGCCGTCACCCCCCCCCCGGCTCCTTTCGCCACTTCCGGATTAGCGGTTTTGCCGATTTGTCTGGCGTAGTTTTGTACGGGTTATTTGCTCCTCGGGTATGCTCCCTCGCTTATTTCCCTTTCCCCCTTCTCCCTTTCGTCTTTGCTCCTCACTTCTCCTTTCGTCCTTGCTATTTCTTCTTTCCCACTTCTCCTTTTTCTTTGCTCCCTCGCTTATCCTTTCCCCTTCCCTCCCTTTCGTCTTTGCTCCCTCGTATTTCTCTTTCCCCCTTCCCCTTTTCGTCTTTGCTCCCTCGCTTATTCCCTTCCCCTCCTCCCTTTCGTCTTGCTTATTTTCCCTTTCCCCTTCTCCCTTTCGTCTTTGCTCCCTCGCTTATTTTCCTTTCCCCCTTCTCCCTTTCGTTTTTTGCTCCCTCGCTTATTTCCCTTTCCCCCTTCTCCCTTTCGTCTTTGCTCCCTCGTTTATTTTTCCCTTTCCCCCTTCTCCCTTTCCCCTCCTCGCCTTCCCTTTCGTCTTTGCTCCCTCGTTTATTTTCCCTTTCCCCTTCTCCCTTTCGTCTTTGCTCCCTCGTCTTATTTCCCTTTCCCCCTTCTCCCTTTCGTCTTTGCTCCCTCGTTTATTTTCCCTTTCCCCCTTCTCCCTTTCGTCTTTGCTCCCTCGGTTGTTTCGAAGTTTTCGTAGGCCGCCAACATTGAGATAGGCCTACAAAATCCTCGCACCGATCACCCACAAACCCTTCCAAGTGAACCACGAGCTCTTACGCCCCCTACCATACACAGGAGAAAAAAAAGACAAAAGGGGGGAAAAAAAGACAAGAAACTCACCCTAATCTTGTGTCTATTAAGCGCATCTCGATCCCCGGAGTTCTTAGCGTTGCCGAGGAAAAGGTGTGGCAGAATCTCCACGGGGAAGCCCAAGTCGTCGAGGGGGGTGTCCCTCCCGAGGCTGGAGTCGCACGCTCCTTCCACGTCCTCCTCGGCCTCCAGGCACGTGATCCTCAGACTCTTGAAGCCCACGATCGGCGGCTCGTTGGGCAGCGCGCTCTCGCACCACTCGGGGAACCGCGACCGAAACTCCTCGAAGCCACCTGTTGGGGAACGGGGAAGGATTAGACGTCGAGGGACAAGTCGAGGCGGAAGGGAATGGGGAGGGGGGGAGGGATGGGCTGCGGCGGGGATTTGCTTGGGATTTGCTTTGGTTGGGTTGTGGATTGGGGTGGGAGGGAAGGGTTGGCTATCACGATCTGGGGGGGGTGTTAGAAGGTGAGACATAATGATAAATTGGGTTAGAGGTTTACATATCTTTTAAGGGCCCTGTGAAGACGATCAGCCATTTCCTGATCCTCTTCTCCAGAGGCGAGAGATAAAACCAGCGTGGCTCTTCGTTCCACCACTGGGATGAACAAAACCCAAACATCCAAACACAGACAGACGCAGACAACAAACGCAAACACGCGCATACACTTCCCGCCCACGACGCCCAAAGCCAAATCCAAATCCCATATCCTCTGTCCACGTCACAAGCACGCGCCCACACGCCCCGGGGCCACGTCGCGCAGCACACAGGATGGGCGGAAGATGTCTCAGTCGGAGGTCCGCGCCACACGAGACGAGGCTGACCGACGCCGCCCCTACAACCGGAAACTTGCGGCCGCCGCTTGACCAGTCCGGGAAATCTCCGCTCGGTACTGGCGCACTCGGGCTCTGCGGCGACGCTCGGTTAAGCGTACTCCTCCAGCCTCCTCCTCCCCTGCCTCCTCCTCCTCCTCCTGCTGCTCCCTCCCCCTGCCTACCGCCTGCCTACTGTCTCCTCCTCCTTTTCTCCTCGCCTTCCACTGCCACCACCTCCTCTTCCTCTTCTTTTCACCTCTCACTACCTTCTTTTCCTATTCTTCTCTCCCTTCCTCATGCTCATATTCTCCTTCTGCCTTCTCCTCCGCCCTGCCTCTACCTACTTTTCTCCTCCTAATCCACCTCCTCTTCTCCCACCATTCCCCTTCCTACTCTCCCTACACTTCTCCGATCTCCCAAAGCCCGTGGGTTGGGTGTGGATAAGGAAGACATGAGAAAAACCTTCTTCCTCCTCCTCCTCCTCCTTCTCCTCCCTCCAGTTTCCTGGACTTCACCATCGCCAAAATACCCTCCCTCGCTCCTTTCCCCCCTTCCCTCTCCCCCCCCCCCTTCCATCCGGCCATTGTGAGGGAGGCAACTGCTCCTTTTCGCCAACATGAGGAAAGCCCTCTCGTCGTGAGGCAAAATGGTGAGGTGAACTGGGTCTACGGCGGCGGTGTGTCCAGGCCCTCGAGGCATACTTTGTTTACACCCGAAACTCCTCTCCTCTCCTCATTCTCCCCCTTCTATAGCTCCGTCCTCACGAGCGGGAGAAAGGAGAGGAAGAGGGTGGGACGGAGAGAGGGGATAGAGAGAAAGAGAAAGAGAAAAGAGAGAGAGAGAGAGAGAGGAAGAGAGAGAGAGAGAGAGAGAGAGAGAGAGAGAGAGAGAGAGAGAGAGAGAGAGAGAGAGAGAGAGAGAGAGAGAGAGAGAGAGAGAATAGCCACACCGACAGCGGCGACAGCGGCACACGTGCGTGGGCATCGACCAGGGCAGCACGTGGCCCCAGACGGCGAGGCGAGCGCCCTGCGTCCCGCCGCCGGACTCCCGCCGTGGAGACAGCGCGGGGAGGGCACAGGAATGTAGCGCACAACGCCTTCCAAGTCGGCAAATGACGTCACACACACGCACACGGCCAGCCAACCATCAACAACAAAGAAAATTTCTAAAAACATTGACACAACAGGCCATCTGGCGTTTTCTTATCCCCCTCCTTCTTCCCCAGCGCTGATCTCCGCACATGACAGCACCCCATTCGCACGCACGCACGCACACGCACGCACACACGGGTGACAGCACCACCTCCACCACACACTCCCGCGACCGCCACAAGAAGCGGCGCTGGAATCTGCCCTGGCCATCCACCTCCTGTTAATAGCGGCTTTAATTAAGCTAGCGGGGTCCGGAATGCCACGACGGCAATCATTATGCAACGCCGTAATTAGCAGATAATCAAAAAGAAAGAAGGGAAGAAGAGAGAGAGAAGAAAAAAGACCCGAACTCTCCCTGTGGCAAATAAGCACTTCGGACCCCCGGCCTGTCTAATGACACCTCACTTGTTGCGAGGAAACAGACCGGCTTGGAGCGACGGGCAGTTTTCCTTCGCGGAGAACGGTACACGTGCACACAGGTAGACTTACGTACACATGGCACATGACTGACATACACAGACACACAGACAGACAGAAACAGACAGACACACACACTCGCACACGCGGTCTTCTACCTCTTCCCGTTTGAAAAGGAACAGTTGGACGATAGAGGAACCTTTTTCAGAGAGGGAGAGGCGAGGGAGGAGGAAGGAGGGGAGAGGGACGGGAGGGAGGGAAGGGGAGGGGAGGGGGGGCGCCATGATAAAAGCTCTCTTTGCTCTCTGCACTAATTCCGGAGAAAGAGAGCTTCGGGGAGCGCGGCGGAAGGAAATTCCGGGCGACGGCAAGACATCCGTACTACACACTACTCCACCCTCATTACCGTATTAACTCCCGACCGCTAAATGATAGTCGCCAACTGCCTCGACACGAAGACATGTACGCGGCCTCGCATGCGCACACGCGAACGTACGCTCGCACGTTACTTTCCACACCTGCGCACACATAAGAGCACACACACACACACAAGTGCCCGAGCACAAGCGGGGGGGGGGGAGGCCGCTGTGTGGCACTGGCGGAGCCTGCGCCTTCGAATGGCGCTCCTCTCGAGGCCGAGGTGGAGGACCGCCGGGCGCCGCACGCATGGCAACCAGAAATTCGAAATAAAATAGGAGAGAAAGAGAGAGGAAAAATGCTAAGTGCATGGCAACATAGCAAATGCATGGTTGTACCCACCGGACTATCCGGTCTCTCAGATTCGAGCACACGATTGCGCGCGCGCGAGCGCGCCACGCCGAGACTTGCATCACGAATCCGCGAAGAAAATTGTCCAAATAAAGACAAAGAGTGGCCAGGCTGAGGCTCGCATTCCAGCACACCCGCCAGCTCCACCGCCCCCTCCCCGTCCACGCCCAGCCCGGCCGCCCACCCGCCACCCACAGTACATGGAAATGCCGAAGGAGGGTCGTGAGGGCGGCCCGCGCAGTGCAGGAATGCGAGGGAGGGAGGGAGGGAAGAGGGAGGAAGGAGGAGGGAAGCGCCGCGAAGGGAAATGAAAAGGTAAACAGCGAAATGGGAAGAGCAAACGCGCGGGATGAAGAGCGCGTTGTGGGTCGCGGGCGCTCAGGTGCGGCGTGAGTGAGGTTTGTGCGGCTCAATGAGGGAGTGTGTGAGGGCGCCGCTATGGGCGCTGAATGAGGAGCCCGAGAGGAGAGAACTCAAAGAATAGTTTATGTATGAGATAACACGCATCTTGAAGACGGGTCTCTCCCCCCCCCCCACTTCGTGCCTTCAAGTGCCCTCGCTGCGTGTGAATGACTGCATGGCAAGAAGCTGGAGAGAAGTAAAAAATAACAAAATAAAAATGAAGTTCATCTACATTTGTTGACCCTCCGGAGCGGATGCCCACGATGCCTACACACCGATGTACACACAAACACACACGCTAACACCAACTTGTGTACGAATCTATGCTGAAGCATTTGCACGACTCGTACGTGTGAATGGTGGGGGATGTGCGTGTGCGTGCGCGCGTGTGCGGAGCGGCCGCGCCAGCCTGCAGCCAGACATAATTACTCACATTCCTTCACGTCCCACCAGGCTTCTCTCGAGCTGGCCACGGTCATGCTCCTCCTGCTGTGGCGCTGGTGGCGTGGCGGCCGTGGTGTAGTGGTGGTGTGGGCTGGTGCTGGTGTGGTGGTGTGATAGCAAACGGCGGCCGGCGGTGCAGCGGCGGGAGAGGGCCGCCCGGGGCCAGAAGGGAGCGACGGCGGCGAGCGACCGTCGGTTCGGCAAGTGCCACAGGTTGCCGCGAGGCACGCCGCCGTCAGGCACTGTCGCGGCTGGCCGAGCTCTGTGCGAGATGGCCCTCGAGTATCCGATTTTCTAGCACTCGAACATTCCATTTCTAACACGCAGTTCAAAACCAGCAGAACGCTAAGCGGTAGACAGAAGGGGAGAGCGGAAGAAAGAAGGAGAGGTAGATTAATAGATAGAGAGAGACCTACTCGGATTTTCTACGGCTTATTGTGCACCCGATACCCGGTCCAACCACCAAGTACCCGTTATACTGCTGACGTCATCATTACCCGGAGTAGGGAGTGGAAGGCACAGGGCGAGTGGAAAGGAGGGGGTGAAAAGGCCATAAAGAAATAGAGAATTATATATATATCATTTACTTAAGTTCAAACCTTGTTACGCATAAAAAACTTCTCAAGATTCAAACAAATGAAATAACGAAAAAGACGCTAAGAAAATAAAAGAAAGAGAATAGAAGAAAGACAAGAAAGAAAGAGGAAAAACGCGAAGCCCAGAACGGAAACGAGTCTATGGGTCACGGTCGATGCCCAGGCGAGCTTAGGTTACCGGGATTACGTGACCTCCCTTCCCCCTCTATCCCTTGCCCCTTCCCCTTCCCCCCTCTCCGCTCCCCCACCCCTTCCCCTACCCTTTCCCCACTCTCCTCTCCTCTCTCCTACCCCTTCCCCTACCCTTTTCCCACTCTCCTCTCCTCTCTCCTACCCCTCCCCCTCTCTCCTCTTTGCTTCCCTACGCCTTCCGAGAAGGAAGGGGAAGAAGAGAAATAGGGGGGGGGAAAGGTGAACGGAAGGAAGAGGGAGGAAGTGAGGGAAATGGAAGGGGGTGGAGGCACGGGTTGGGGATGGAAGGAGGGCGCGGTCTATGGAGGGTAGGAGGGTAGGGTTGGGTCTTTGGAGGACAGGTGAGGGGAGGGGGGGGGGAGGGTTGTGGAGGGTAGGAGACGGGGGGGAGGGGTGCGGGTCGTGGATCTCCTTAATGCGTGAACTTGTCGTAGCCCTGTCAACCGATAGCCCTGTGACGCGGCAGAATATTGCAAACTGCTACTAAACACGGGGAGGGGGAAGGGG